AGCGCGCGAGTTCCATCTCGACTAGTGCCGTGCGTCGCTCGGGACGCTCACTCGAGTTTCGGTCGAGTAGTGTACGCACGTTCCAGCACCCGATGTTGAGTGCCTTGCGTGGGGGCATATGCTTACGGTGCCGGGCAATCGCGCAAGTTGTTACCTAGATTGAAGGCATTAGGCAGTTGGGTGAAATGTGGACTGTGAGTGTGTGTGCATAGGAAGCAAAAAGAAGCGAAGCGTCAGCAGTAGCATGTTTTCGCTTATCCACCTCTTGTATGCAGCAGACAAGACTATCTTTTCCATTGTCACTGCGCGATGGCCGATGGAGCGTGAGATTATTATTATTGGCGTGATTGATGATTGGGGTTTAGACTGGTATGCTGTCGGGGCGTCCACACCTGACAGGAGAACGACTCGGGTCCTTAGGCAAAGCCTTCGATAAAATGTACTCCCGAAAGGCTCCGGGTCGTACGCCATAAGCCAATGAACCAACTCATGCGGAATTCTGTGTCGTAGCTCTTAACTAGAAGAAGGGTGTCACTATTACAACTCCGCCCGTATTGAACCACGACACTTGGTAGTACGTAGTATTCGACCCTTAACACACGAAAGTAGAACATGTCAGTTTCAGCAATACACAAAATGTATTGTGCCGCCACAAAGACAACTCTTCGCAATATTTCAGACAGTCTAATTAATGGTTAGCTAGCGTTAACGGACACACACTGACTGATGCATCCAACCAATAGAAACAGTTTAATCGATGACTGGCTAGCGTTGGACTGACACACTGCGCAGATGCCATATTTCTCCTCCCTTTAGTTGGAACTCAGCTGGTCTGATATCGATCAACTAATTGGCGTACTCTGCCTGAGCGGCGACATTGCGGTGTCTTCGATTGATTAGTATTTTGCACGTCTTCCAACTCAGTGACTGGGCTTGTCGATGTGTCAGCTGGCGTAACCGAGACAGAGCGGAAACGGACATGGTCCTTGTGCCGAATGACTACCCTGCCGTCTGGTAGAGCCACTTTTGTATTTTGTCCCGCAACGGCGCAGATCTCCAGGCTGCCAGTCCGTTTCGTTAGGCAATTTGATATAAACCGGTTCGTCCTCATAGAGTTGTCGGTCGACTGCCCTCTAATCATACTCGATCTTAGACTTGTCTTGTTTGGCCTCGACACGTAGCATCTGATCGGGAAACAGCAAGCCTAACCGTGTCCTTAACCTCTGCCCGAACATTAGTTCACCGGGCCTCTTACCAGTCGTTTCGTTCGGTGTGGCGCGATAACCAAAAAGAAATTTGTCTAACCTTGTTTTCAGCGGTTTCGGCACTTGTTTTCGAAATTCGTTTGGACCGCCGTTTCAGCCAAGCCATTAGAATCTGGGTGGTAAGGGGCCGACTTCACATGACGTATGCCGTTAGTTTTCAGAAACTCCTGAAATTCCTGACTAGTAAACACCGAGCCATTGTCTTTCACCAACGTGTACGGTATACCGAAGGTTGTAAAGCACGTTCGCATGCATGAAACCGTAGTCTCTGACGTGGCTCGTGTTAGCGGGAAAACATCGATCCATTTCGAGTAAGCGTCGATCAAGAGAAGAAACACCTTCCCGTCAAGTAGGCCGAAGAAGTCAGCATGTACGTGCTCCCATGGTTTACTGGGCCATTTCCATGGGCTGAGTGGTACAGGAGGGGCGCTTCTTTGTGTGCTTTGACAAGTGTCGCAGTGCCGGATTAACTCTTCAATGTCTGTCAATATTGGGCCACTACACATAGTACCGTGCAAGTCCTTTCATTCTCGTTATTTCCGGGTGAGTTTCGTGCAACTCTTGTAGAACATCTGGAGACAAGCGGAGTGGTATGGTCCCTATGGATCCCCAGAGTAGACTAAGCTCGGAGCGTCAAGTATGGTAGCAATTGCGGCTCACATCTATCAGGCCATCCCTGGGATATTAAACGTTTGACCTTTGCAAGTAGTATGTCCTCTTCGGTTTCATGACGGATATCTGCGCTTGGCACCGGATTTCTCTCTAAATGTTGAAGCAAATTAACTAGTTCGGCGGGTTTTAGTACGCAATCGGGCAACTGACTTGACAGTAAGCAGCTCAGAGCGTCGGCAACTCCATTCGCTTTCCCAGGAACATATGAGACTTTGTAGTTGTAGACCGAAAGCAATAAGGTCCAACGTTTGGATTTGGATTTTATTTCAGCTTGTCGTTTAAAGTGAATGGCTGTTGCTTGATATCCCCGGTGTGGTTGCGCTTGATGTGCATGTTGACAAGGTGCCTACCTGTCTATTACTCACTACCTCGTCCATACTGGCTCCAGGAGACAGTTGGTCGTTGCTGGAGGGAACCGGGGTGCACGGTCCTTGTGGTCGTGCTAAGATCAAAGAGTGGTTCCATGCAGTCAGTGTGAAGCGGACTACGGTCCAGCCACCGCCTTGTGTGCACTTGATTCCCCAAATACAGCGTGTTTGTGTTTGCCTGTGAAGGAGTGTGGGCCGACTCCGTTGATGAAACGTGGCTCCCATCCGCATGCCTCCTGGTCTTATTCCGTCGGGTTTATACTGAATATGGGATGTGTGCTTGGAGATGTGGGTGGTGCAGCGCAAGCCAACTATGGTCTCTCTGTAGGCGCAGGCGTCCTGTGGCTGGCCACAGTGACAGGCAAATCCGAAACCGGATGCCGCCAGCCATATATATATATATATATATATATATATATATATATATGTGTGTGTGTGTGTGTATATATATATATACTCTGAGTTCCGTCCGACAAGTGGATCAAGTCTTTTTTGTCGCATCCTTTCTTGTCTTCAACTTTGTGACCGGATCAATCATTTGTGATTGCATCCTACTTTTTCCGATAGTTTTGGGATAGACATTCTGCCGAGTGATCAAGCCTCATATTTGGCATAGGCGGACCGGACCCAGCTGCTATGCAGGCGCTACGGAATAGGCTAACGCATTGCGCTGCGGTTTTCAACATTTGAGTTGTACATTCAACGTGCATTGTGCTGTTGTGGGACCTGGACGGACACGCTATCAATTTTCAAAATAATGGAACATCCTCTCTAACTTTTCGATTGGTGCGTATGTTTAAGCGTATGTATCACTGATGAATCTCGACACGTTTTATTGAGGTCACTGCGGCCTTTGAAGACTTGTCACTTGTAGAGACACCGGGTGTTAACTTACCGGTTAAGGAAAAAGTTTACAACGGTGCGATGCGATCATTGTTACCTTGTAGATTGGATCCGGCGGCTGCGCACTGAGAACGTTCGGATAGTGCCCATATTCAACCACCGGCACATGCTCATTGTTATCCATTTATGGTGAGAGAACTTAATAACTAGCGCTGATCTTCGTTGTCTGGTGTTTGTTACTTGGTCCTCTGGCGTCGCGTTGGAGTCGCTGTTGAGCTCGAGTCGCCTTCGATGACTCAGTCATATGCTCCGAATGCCTGCGAGCCGACCGTCTCGGCGTGTTTTGTTTGTCAACACTCCACCTATTCGAATGAAACTTCGAGGTGCCCAACCACTGCAATGATAAAATCTCGCGGGACAACTCACTGAAATACGGCCGAATTGGTTCTAACCACGCGTTAGGTTGTGTTCTACCTTTACCTTTGATCATGCCTGATTTGGTGTGTCTCTATAAATTTGAGAATAAAGTATTTATTTACTTTTTATGCATCTGTTGCATCTTCCTTGCCTGATATAACGTGGTCTTCAAGATAATTAGGATCGTCGGTTATATACTGTCTCTGACATGACACAGTCACAGAGTCCATGACAGTCTTGCATACGTCCCCCTAATTTTTGGCCATTAACTATTCTACTCGGTGTTTTTGTTATCAATATTGTCACTATCATTTTGGCGTAAGAACTGAAACCCTCATAACGCTTTGTGGTCCATTTTCACACCAATGCATCCTGCTTCACTCGCCTCTGCGCTACCACTCGTACGGCTCAGCTCTATTATCGGTATTGTGCTGGATTAAAGCTACCCTTGCCATCACATTGTTGGGGTCTCCTCACCAAGGCACCTTCACCGCCCGTTTCATGCCTAGTGACCGAACAGCACTAGCAGTGACTGAGTCGATCTGCATATTTGCATCATTGTAACGCCATTTCGCTGAGCATCGCGATTTTGCGCTCATAACGCCGCTAGTTATCATAGCTGCTCTACCATGCGGGTGATGTGCTCTTTCGATTGCTTATACTTCGGCTTACATGCCCTGCATTGTTTGCACGTGCTCTTTTGTTAATTGATGATCTTCACAAGAGACGCCGGTCTCATTGTTGTGCCAATATCGATTTGCTTTTCCCCCTCTCTGGTGTATGGTTGCAGATATAGTGAGCGCGCTCGGCTGTAGGTACTTAATAGATTATGTATGCCTACACTGTGTTCATTTCCTTTCTCTCATGCCCACCATTATAATCATCTATCATTTTAAAGCTGAATTTAGGGAGCACGGGATGTGGTTGGGTTGGGACTCGCAACCTCTCTTGAGACCTCGGTTCACTTTGTGATAAACCTCGGTCATTCCGATCTCGAGGACCGTAACCTGGATGAAAATATTTGGGTATTGCTCTTCCCAACTCTGGCACACCACGACCACGGTTTCGTCCCGGTTTGGACTCGTCAGGTGGAGATAGCTTGAGCTGGGGTAAAACTCAGAGCTTAGGAGTTCACGGCTGACGCCCTGAACACTATGCTGCTGAGATTCGCGAGCAACGCTTGGCACAGCGGAGAGTAATTCAAAGCTGAATTTAGGGAGCACGCTGCGTGGTTGTTGTATTTTGTATATTATTTGTATATTGTTCTTTTGTCTGCTTTTTTACTTTTGCGGTTCGTTGATCCTGTGATACGTTGTCAGATAACGCATTCATATTGGCTCGGCGTGTCGAATAGGTTAATGTTTAGCCGCAACTACACCGACGTTTCTCTATCGTTTGCTTTCGTATCCTTGCTGTTCTGCATTCCTCTCTTCAGGTGGACCCTTGACCCATTATCTGCCAACTCCTCACCAAGAACCTCCGCTCCCTGTCAGTGTTATTCTACAGATTGTTTACCAAACCTGTCGAGCAGTGCAGCACATGCATAATCAATGTCCACCTATAATTCACCGTGATTTGAAGGTTGACAATTTGCTGTTATCTGAGGATTTTATCATCAAATTATGTGATTTTGGCAGTGCAAGTACCACTAGCTATTCCCCAGATCATACTTGGAGCTCGCTGCAGAGACTAAGTGTTCAAGAAGAGGTTTGTATATATTTTGCTTTATTCCATTGTGCGTATCGTGTAGTACACATTGCACCATTGTTTTCCTTGTCCCGAGGCGCAACATGTTTGCTTTTGACGTGCCATCGGCTAGGTGTCTGTTCACCTTAGGTTTTTGAACTTGAAACCGAGGCCGAATTCATTATTAGATGTTTCATGACTGATCCCTTTTTTCCACTGGATAACTGTAGTGGTTGCGACTGCTCTTTCACAGTCTTATTACATTGGCAATAAGATTCGCCATTAATCACCAACTTATCAATGTCGTTCGGTTTTAGCGTAAGTCACTGTACGTCGCTTACCGTGATTAATCTTCGATTCGTCGAAAGCTTACCGTCACTAGTATTTCAACAATGTCTTCACTCAACTTTCGCTCTTCGGCCGATTAGTATTCGATGGATAGGCGCGAGACCTAGGTCTTGCTCTCTCATGAATCTGTTGTTAAGGCGTGCGAGTACTGAGATCGGCATAGGTATTGATCGCCACTATGTAATTCTCTAGTTAGATACTAATTCCTAGCTAGTTTGGTATACTCGCTTGCTAAGCACTGCTTCGCTTGATCTCATATGAATGTGGCAAGTACAAAGGCAATGTCCGACCACTTCCTTGCACCCGAACCTAAGCATTGCTTAATATATTTCACTAGGGGAATTTTCGGCATCACGCTTTCCAAGTCACGCGCTGGAATCGGTCGCGTTCTTATTTGGACTTAGATAGTCCAGTGAGATTCAACCTGGCGGACTTTTGAGTGTCGGTTAGTGCTTTTGCTGCTTGGCTGCCAGGCTTCGCCAGTGCCTCTTGTAACGGTTTTACAGATAACTTTGATAAGTTTCTGTTTTAAGGACGTTTGAATTGCAACACATCAACTGAATTCGAGTTGTGATTTGCTTGGAGTCGATCTCGATCATGCCACTTGCTGATACCTCATTCTAGAAGTACTTGCTTTATTTAATCTTGGTTTCATTCTCCGTTTTTTTATTCTGTTTTTGCTTAGAGCCACACAACACCCACACCACCTCATTTGATTGCTGTGTTCTATCTGTCGGGGTAGCCGGTGTTTTTATGGTCATTATTCACGCTCCTAAGAGAGCTTGCATGTCACAGTATTTTGCTACTGTTCCAAAGGCAAAGTCGCTATGACCCGATCAAATTTTTATGCTTTTCGTTTGTTCTTTTCTCACATGCTGACGTGTTGCTTGCTGTCTCCCTAGCTCGTTTGCCTGAATGCATCCGCATCGGATGTAATGGTCATTGCTTCTAATGTTGAAAACCTGAATGAGGGAGAATTTCCCTGACTTATTTCTACACTAGCAGATATTTTCTCTGAGTCCGCTTGAACGCACTACTTGGCTACCCATTGTTGCTTCTATTTATAACTTTTCTCTACCCGTTTTTCTAACAAATTTTTCAGCTGGAGAGATTTACAACCCCTATGTACAGGGCACCTGAAATGTTAGATCTCTATCTGAATCATCCTATCGGCACGGCCTCAGATATCTGGGTAAGCTTCTTACTCTATTTCATGTAGTATATTCTGTATTTTCCAAAACTGATCAGGACTGACACGGGTCGTTTTACATCTGATTTTTTGTGCTTTTCTCCCACGGACCAGCATCATCTGAACTTGATCAATCCTCTATCCCACCACGATTAGAAGTTGGCCTCCACACAATCATAAGCGGAGCTTAGAATCAATGAATTTAACAGTCTAGAACGATGTTTTCGACTACGTGACTCAATAAAACTGTGAAATGCAAACCGGCTGTAACAATCTGGTTCTCTTTTGTGTTTAAGTTTTTTTCATATCAATCCATTCGAAACTCTTCACGACTCGCAGCATACATAGCCGAGTATGAATGTTAACCGATCAGTTTCACAGTTTAGTCACTAGATGGACGATGAAGGCGTTTATCGTCCAAACACAGTAACCCCACACGCGAATATTAATACTAAACGAAACGCGTAATCCACAACTGAACCTCGAATTCAAGGGCACTTTTGTCAACTCGGATCGCTGACAAACGCAGGGTTTCACATTGGGATTTGCAGCGCAATTAATCTAGGCACATAGGACCTGGGTTTGGATGTAAAAGGTAGAGCATAAAGCTATCAACGGTACGTCTGGACATCGTGCCGACGTTTTGCTGTCACCCAATCATCAGCGTTTACTTTTGGACTCGGTTGCTGTGAGGTCAACCGCGTATACGCAATTTCGAACTGGTAACCCATGGATTACAATCCAAATGCATAAAACCGCTCCGCAACAAATTGGTCACGCTAGGGTCTACACGCTTCTCTGCGTTAATGTTGCATATGCACCGCGCGAACGTAATTTCGGGGGACATGTGGCTTCCGAGAACTGACACTGTGTTGGTAGCGCTGGTTTGAGAGCTCACCGCTTTGTTCTGAATAGTCTGGTCAAACAAACTTCCATCGTCTTTGGATGAATCGCTTTTCGTTCCCATCTTCAGGAAGGGCTTGTGTGATGTTTACTCAAACTACATGGGTATACGCTTTGATTCCATCGCTTGCAAGCTTATGGTGTCCATCATACTTCATAGGCTATCCCCAACCCGCAAGTCGCTACAGCAGAAAGTACAGACTGGGTTCCGCCTTGGTCGCGGTCGCATCGATCAAATTTTCACACTCCGCCAGATCCTCGAGCTTTGCCATGTATATCAAAAGCCAACAATTGTTGCGTTCACGGATCTCCGTGCTGCTTTCGATTCTGTCAACAGGGCTGCATTGTGGCACTGTCTCTTAAGCACTGGCGTCCCCGAGAAGTTCGTTTTCGTACTGCGTGCTTTAATCTGACTTTGGATAAAGTTAGAGCTTATGGCAAGCTTTCACCATCTTGGTTGTCACCAGGAGGTTCGACATCGACACTCTATTTTCACATTCTTCATTTTTGCCATCGATGATGCCATCAGCAATGCTCCGGAAGATTTGTTGAACACTGGTTTTGAGCTCTTCCTAGATGGCTGAGTTGTTGATTTGGACTACGCTGATGATTATATCTTACTGGGTGACGAAAAACAGGGTATTCAACTTGCACTTAATCTCTTGGCGACTGGAACATTAGAGTTTGGTATGCAAAGCTCTCTCTCAAGTATGGCGGATGCCTATGCCTGCCTTCAACCTTGGTGATGAGACTGGAGGTTGTGGAGAGCTTTGTTTAGTTGGGAAGGTGCCTCACTGCTTGTGAGGCTATTTAAGACGAGATTTCGGTGCACACGTCAAGAGCTCATCTCGCTTTATGTAAGGTGAGGCACTTGTGACACCTCTAAAACATCCTCATCAAAGTGCGGGTTTATTGTACGACCGTCAGCACTGTACTGTTGTATGGTTGCGAGACCTAACGTGTTCCTACCGTGACTAATGTCTCTCTTCGAGCACCGTTGTTTGCCATGCATTGCTCGTGTGTGAGGGCTGCACCAGGTAGACAATGTGAAATTTAGGCAGCATGTCTTGGGATAAGGCAACTACTCGCTCGAGGAGCTCGTCTCGCTGCGTCAGCTGGGCTAGCTTGAACACTTATTGCTCATGCCTGTTCAGAGTCTTCTGCGTCTTGCGTTGCTTACAATTGTTGGGCAAGACTGGAGGAGACGGCGCCGTGGACAACCTACAACATGGAGAAGTCACGTGGAAAAGCTGACCAAACAGTTGGCCTCGGTCGGTTGTTCTCGACTCCCTGGTTGGAGTCCCTGAGGCGCAGAGCGGTTGGTTGGGGACCCTTGAAGTCATGTCTCAAAACCGACGTCAGCAGTGGCCTTGTATTTCGGTGTGTTGCGATGATCCCCCTTCCTCTTAATAAAACAAACTCAGAAAAAGCAACTACTGATAGTGGAAAACTGGGCAAAAGAACTTCCTTTCTCTGCTTCAGTGACTGACTTCAATGAAGGGTCTGAGTTTGGTCGGACTCGATCAGCGTCATTAAACAAGTTAGCCAGAGGTGGAAAACATAGCTATTGTGCGGCAGTACATAGGAAAGGATGAAAAGACGCACGAGGGGCACGCCAGCTGAGCTACCAGTAAGGGATGAACATCGTTCCAGTGAGCTAACAGCCGGCTATTTTCCCATAAAGAAGTTATCTTTTGTCTCCGAAATGAGATCGTGTTTGGAAGATGAGGGCGGCTAAGCGCGAGGTGGAGAAACAAAGCAACTTACAACACAAACGCCACGGTGGTCGGCTCCTTGCTCTGTCAACAAGTGTATCCAGCTAGACATGTTCATCGTCCTTCGGTCCCCAACCAGGGAGCCGAGCGGCTCCAACCGAGGCCAACTTCGAAGTAAGAACCTTCATTCCTCTTGACCAATTCATCGCTTGGTTACCCATCCTCTTCCATCCACACCCCGGTCGCGCAATCAACACACGTCACTGGAGTCAGTGCGCTGGCATGTACAACACGTGGCCCAACCATCTGAGTTAGGTGCGTGAAATCACAGCGCTGAACGCTTGACATCCTCATTTCGTGCCATAAACAAAGCGTCGAACACGCTCATTGCTCATCCGGTCTTCCCACGAGATGGGAGCCAAAGTGCGAAGCCACTGGCGGTCGAACGTAGCTAGCCTCTTTATATCGCTTGATCTAATGGGACAGATTTCACAACCGTACAGTAGGGTCGAGCGTACCGCTGCATTGTACATTCTACCCTTCAGGGCGGGAGTGATGGCGCGCCGGCGCCAAAGCTGGCGAAGGTAAGCAAAAGCGCCTCGGGCTTCTGTTCTACTGTTTATGACCTCCTCTTTGATTCCACTGGCTCTGAAACAACTGCCCAGGTAGTCGAATGTTTGGGCGACTTCTAGCTGATTTCCACCAAGGATCAGCGCAGGAAGCGGTCCCTGCCAATCTCGGATCCGATTTCAGATCTGTGTTAGGAAGCATTTATGGAACGGATCACTAAACCCTATACAGACCGAAATCCAAAATTTTTCCAGAAATCCAGTAAATATTTTTGTTGCTCAATCACATTATGTTCCCGGACAATCTACCATAGGTAACCAAAGAATATAGAAGAGGACAAATTTGATAGGTAACCGGGAGCTTATGAATGACGGTATCCTGCGCCGTGTAATTGTCTTATATTTTGCGGCCATTTAACGGGTGACTGAAGTTTTGACTTCTTGACCAACTGATCAGAGCGACACGGCGCGGCCTTGGTGACCATAACAACTTGTCTTCGGAGTGTTTTTGATCGGAGAACCCGAAAATGCTATTTTCATTAGTGAAGTCTGTCACCATACATCAACAGAAGCACTTTGAAGAAAGCTAAACACAGGTGATTGAGAACATCTTTCAGCATCTTGCGGTACAAACCATACCAAGCACAGAATGATAGCAGTCATCTATGGATGCCATCACTAACAGCATTTGTGAGTTTGATTTTGACCAGGATGCCAACTTCAACTTCGAATCTTGGTTCAGAGGATATGAAGGTGTTTTATGGTCTGCGTTTGCCGATGCTGTCGACAGATGGATGTGTAGACTGCTTCTCTAGAATATGCACCAGATGCTCCACAATTTTATTTTGCCCAAGTGCCCAAACATTGACTTGTACCTTAGCTAACTAACATTTTGATGAACAGTCTTCTTTGTTCATTGTTCGATATCGATTCATGAAGCTCGTTAATTGCGCATCACACAGTGTCATTGTTACCGTTTCAAGTTAAAAGGGAGGACAGATAATCAGTACAAGGCGCCGCTTTTCGTTTGTGGTCTCTAAACACCAGAGAGGACGCCGGGGATACGCATGAGGTTGGTCCATAGAATAGAGCGAGAGACCCTTTCAGCATCACTAAATCCCACAGTCCACGGCACACAAAATTGCTTGCTATCCCAAGACAGCGGTCCATGTCTCATAGATATGCTGGCAGTATTGAACCAACGCAGAAGTATAGCGTAGGTCCTGAACTAGTCATCATTCGAATGCTGGCATTGGGGAGGGGGAAAGCCACCTTGTCAGATTCTGCCCGTTTTGAAAGGCATCGCTGTCGGAAACACAACAAACGCGGTCACAAGGAAAAGCACTGCCGTCTCACTACCCAACAATTTTTCCGAAATTCTTGTACACGCATTAGTGGAGAAGAGCCCAGCTTTATCCTGTTTTTGCTTCATCTAATGCGACTATACGAAGCCTACAGTATATAATCGGATGAGTCGGGCTAGGAAAACTGTAGTCTAGTGAACCTATACTATACGCATTGTCTGGGCAGAGAAAATAAATGGCAAACTCCAGTTACTGTGTTTCTGTAATTCAACTTAAAGACAGATGCTAACTTACGGATAGTTTCGCAACCGTACTGAGAAAGGATGGAAACTAAAAGACGTACGGAAACAGTATACCGTGACAGTTTGCTACTCGACAGTTTGTCAAGTGTGAACTATTTGATGTTGAAGAGTCAAGAATCTGTCAATGGTGCGAAGGGAAAACGGAAAGTGTTTCATAGTGCATGTGTTCGAAGCGAACATGTGTAGATTTATGTGAGCGAATAAGTGAAGGATTTGGGAATAATGATGTCATGTCCTCAAATCGGCAATCCGGTTTCGCTGGATACTCAAAGTCTATTTGGACTTCATAGGGGCCACAAAGCGCAGAAGGTTCGTTACAATACCACGTACCATTGCATCTCCAAATTGACAATCTCGGCTGTCACTGTCACCTCCTAGAAAACTTGGAAGGAAATCGGTGAACGATGTACTTAGCAAGCAACTTTGGTAGCCACCAATACTTCAGGCGGAGTATTAGACTTCATCATCATCATCAATATACACGTTAGCTAGAGGTGGGAAACACCTCAGCTACCGCAGGTATTAGACCTAGGCGGTAAAAATTTGTCTTGTTGTTTTTACGGACACATTTCTAAGGGGTTTGCTATGTAGCAAAGCACCCGGACCTGGACCTATATTGACTCGATTGGATCAACGATATGAAAGTATTTGGCGGCCGGTGGCCGAAAGAATTGCACGCCTGGCTTGCGCAATACTTAGGTCACCGATTCGAATCTGCGTACGTGCGGGCATCCTCGCGGTATGCTCAACCCACGCGCGACTGATGGTGGTCGCGTGGCAGCGAAGCATCGGTACAGTGTGCCGGCGTACTGCTTATGAATTTTCTGGCTTGCCTTTGAATTCCATGTGCAACAGTTTTGTGCAGTTTTGTGCCGTACGGATCCTGTGGAAATGGTTAAGCAACGGTAGCGCTATTTAGAAACAAATACTTAAAACAAGGTACTAAAGCTCGTCATGGTAAAATAAGCTACAGATAGGCTCATCGGATAATTTAATTGTGAATTAAAGACGCGGGACAAATTGTAAGATAGCCACGGGCTTCTCGAATATCAAGGACTGCATGAATAGTGTGGCAGTTTGTGTAGTCAGTCATAATACCCCCATCTTTGAAGGCCGCACAGTCACCGCCTTCATATCTTATTTAGGCTATAATGTTCCCACCTTCTCCGGGATTCAACGAACCGGCAACCCATGCATTTCGAGGTAGACGGTCGGCATATGTACCAAGAACGTGAGAGTACCGAATGGCGCTGTTTAGCGCTGCTCACTCGCTGCCCTCACCGGATTTTAGCAGGGCTTCTCATGCACTGAGTATTTAAGTCGAGCATTTCTTTTCTATCTTTAAGGTGTTGGGGTTATGTCTTTGAGATTTATGGGAACAGTAACCCCGCGTTATATTGTTGACCGATTGACCAAAATCTCACGAGCTATCGATGCTTATGAGTCCGCACGCACTTTTCTCATCGATTGGCACGTTAACTGTTCCATTGACCTATCCGCCTTCACTGCGTCGCAAAATTGCGCGCAACGCTTGACCACTTGCAGTGGTTGTTGGGCGAATGGGAGAGCCGGTGGCACATCAACCTCGTCGTGCTGTAGCATTTTGCAATCCCGAAACACGCTGTACATCCCATTAGTCTTATCTACCGCACTTGCATTGGAACTGGATCTGCTCGCAGCATAGTCATTTGTGCGCTTATGTGGAATTTTCCAGTCATTCTTACTTAGGAGAACTGCTCCAGCTGTAGCCACCGGAATAGTCGTTTGCACCTCTTTAGATTACAAATCCTGCCTATGTTTTCTTGCTTTATCGCTGACTCATTGCTTCCAATCCCCATCGATCGTCATGACAATGGTGTTCCCAATAGTTATGTATCGATTGCGATTTTGTGATAGTCCTTGCGACACTACCACATCTTCTTTCCACTGCACCCGTCACTTTGGATCCACCTGGTTCATTGTTGACTGATTCCTACACATGTTTCATTTTCCGTTTTGCTACTTAATCTAATTGTTTCGTTGCGTTTCACTTCTTTCTTTCAGGCTTTGGGGTGCATTCTTTTCTATTTAACATGCACCTACCATCCGTTTGAAGATTCGGCCAAACTTGCTATTCTTAATGCGAACTACCAGTTACCGACAGCGCCGTCTGATCACACCATATTTCATAACCTGATACGTGAGTTTCACATTCATACGGTTAATCTGTATTCCATTTGGTTGATGGCGATCGTTTTTCGCGCCACTACAGATGATCTGATCACCGGGTGTACGAATAAACAAGCTCCTAGATAGTTACCATTCTGCGCCTATGCCTCTGACTTCCCTGTGCGACTAAAATTCAGTTGTATCCCCACTTTATTCATGTCCGATAAGGTTGATTTCTCAGTGTACCGTTGCTCCTGTTAGCATCTCCACTGCCCATGTTATTCTTTTTCTATGGTTATTCCTTACAAACCTTTTCTCCCAGACTTAGCCATGTAAAAGTTATCAGTGACTTTGATACCTGTTTTTAAATCGCTCTCCAACTCATACATCTGTCCGTACTCTGTCTGATCGGTCGTTAGGTTTCATAAACTCTTCGCACTGTTCAGCCTGGCGGGTACTCTATATTCATCTTTTAGACATGCAACACCCATATTGGCTCTTCGCATAGATACCGACCGCCTACCTTAGTATGCATTGTCCACTTTTGTTGCGTTTGGTTGGATGAGTGCCCGTTTTAACCAGCTGATCATTTAACACGAACCTATAGTGGAATACACGGCAAATCCTGGTCAGGTTTGTAAATGGGACCTCGAGATAAGAGACATATCAGAAGTTCATTTCGTTAACCAATACGGCTCAGTTACACGCATTCAGTGTTGCAGTATGTTTGCCCTTACCTTCTGCACCCCTTTCCATTTGGATTTTATTTTATCTCTCCGTTGAGGCTTATTTATGTTTTTTGTCATCTGTGGTATTATTAACCTCGAAGGGAAACGCAAGCGATGAGTTCAGAGCAAACAATTGTTTTCGATTTATTCGTTATCAGGCTCAGTACAGAAATAAACGGTAAAAAGCTGGCAAATCACTGGCGAATACAGAGGGTAACAACTGATCAAAAACGTTCGAATCGAATTTGTTGATATGCTTATGAGTAGGAGGATTTTAGTTGCAATTTTTTAATATGTTCATCTCACCGGCTCACAAGCTACATAGCTCAGCCAATCCGAAAAGCACCAGACCCGTTTCACCCTATTGGGGATCGTCAGTAGTGCACATTCCCTCGGTTCCCTACTGGGGATCGAACCCATGACCGCTAGAGGCAGATGCCAACTGGCCAGCGGCTTAAGCCACTGAGCCATGGGGGATGGCAGTTTGGCTACATAATTTTCAAGCTAACTGGGAAATAGCGCGACCTATCTTTCACTGCCACCCAGGTTCCTATTCTTGTAGATGACAGTGGCTAGCCTCAGAAGGTCATGACTTCCTCTCACTAGACGCTATGTCCATAGCATTTGAAACTAAGAGAGGGAATGCGCACCACTGACGAGCCCCAATAGGGTGAAACGGGTCTGGTGTTTTTCCGGATTGTGCTGGATTGCGCTTGGATGATGGCCATAGGAGCTATACCGCTTGGACTTGTTTCTTCTGAATGCATAGGTTCGGATTTGTTAATCCTATGAATACCGTTTCCGCGGTAGAAAGTAGTCTTGCACTCGACCGATGGTTCTGATGGAAAGGTGCTTTCTACTGGATCTCAAAATCACCGCGTTTCTCTTTGGCATGCTTGTTATTATTGCTCTACTCTGTCTGACACTGCAAGTCGTCTGCTGGATCAACTGGATGATGACACTTATAATGATTTATTCACGGTTTTCCCGAGCCACGGAATGTCTTTCCGTTGGCCCCACGTGTGTTCTTTTCCTACGGGTTTCGATGATATGCTGCTTGCGATGCATACTTCTATCTGTGTTTGTATAAGTTTGACTTGGTCTCCTGTACTGTGGCACCGTTTTATTTTTTCTAGCTGCAAAGTCTTTATACCTACCACTGCAATGCCACTTCAGTAACGTCCAGTATTTCCCTTACCTTCGTACTACTCCATACCGTTCGGTTTCACAGAGAAACAGCTGCATTTTCGACCCCATTTGCTTGTCCGATTTCAGGCCAAATGCTCCTTATCAACCCAACTCAACGCCCGAACGTCACTGAAGTCCTTGGTGAACTATCAGAACTTGCTTCTGTGCGGGAGTTGCGAGTCAGTGGCCCAATTTCCATGTTTGCCAAAGTCAGCAAACGACGCGGTCTCTCCACCACCTCTACGGTTATCAACAATCCTTGCGCTACCGTCTCCCGTATGTATCGATAATGCTCTTTCTCCCTCTGAATCGTTGCATTCCGACTATTTGAAACTCCGTGCGGGAGACTATTGTTTCAATAGCATTTCTGTTTGATGTCAGTAGCATAAGAGTACTTGTATTTTCATAACCACATTCGTAATGTTTCTGTTACGGACAGTACATGCGGTGCTTAGTCAGCTCTATGCATTTAGGCATCAAATCTATGTTACGCTTTATTTATCTTTAAGAAGTTGAGCAAAACAAAACCGTGACTAAAAATTATCACCCCTACACATTTACGTACAATTTCTTGAACCATCGAATTGCATCCAACTGGTCGGTTTACTAGATCCAATTTAAAGCGCTTTTCATGTCCTAAACAACGGTACCATTTCACGCAATGTACGGCTGTCATAGCGCAGTTCTCCGTCTTTCACGTGCACACAGCATATCTACTTGTACTTTACCCATCCCTTATCTCAAATTGCTTTCTCTGTTTGTCCATTTTTATTGTCTGTGCAGTGTCTCTCAAAGTTGTTCTGCCTTAAGTTGCCCATATTTGCAGCTGACTGTACCATCCGTAGCTGTGGACTGAAATCTGTCCCAAATCGTCGTCTAAAACCTTTTCCCACTAAAAGTTGTGTTTACCTGCGATAGGCGTCACCAATTTTTTTATCGCCACTTTGGTCTTGCTCTTTTGAAATGTCGCACTCTTTGTTTATTCGCTTGCAACCAGTTACTGGCTACATTTTTTCCACATGTCCTCATTGTAGCTGCTTGTGGTCATACTCCGAGCGACCCGAAGTTCTCTTCGAGTTTTCCACCCGAAGACAACACGAAAATTGGTGTCTATACTTGCAAACCATCAGTACCTAACAGACCTCTGCTGCCACCGCGGACCGCACCTTCTGTCCCCTCTACCTCACCAAATGAAGGCACAAAGGAGTCAAATCCTTCAACTCCCATTTCCTCAACACAGCATTCCGCTTCGGAACCGTGTCACATGCAACACACCACCTCGGGCACCGGGCCGAGCAGCATGTTTGGTATGCTGAAAGGTGGGGCCGGGACCTTCATTAAAAATCTTCGGGATGCATCCAGCAAAGTGTTGGAGACAGTATCCTCGTAAGTGGTAGCTTAGTTTTTAATATTTGCCCTGATGTCTGCAAGAGCCTTATAGATCACATTACTAGTCGATGCCTTCCTGGGTACGCGATTTCCTCCACCAAGGCTGTGGGTTCAATCCCAAATATATTTCACCTCGCTGTGACTGAATGAGGTCATTGCTCTTTGTCGTATTCTTCCCTCCCCTGAAGTACACCACGATTTTTTTGTTTCGATAGTATGGTTGAACTGAACGGAAGTCCACTGAGCTACAACCACCTATCCATCAGGTATGATATGGACACTTGATCGTCTAAGTACCAAACGTAGTCAACAATGACTTTTATGCTCCGTGGCAACGGGAACATCAAGCCTACCCACAAGAATCGGTTGGTAATCTTACTTATAACCCGAATCATTAACACATAGGTTTACTAATCTGGTAACCACCGTCAGAAACTTCTTCCAAGTTGTAGTCACGTTTTCAACAGATGTAGGACGTTTGACTTACAATCTAACGCTCACATTTACGTCTTGAACATTTTCTATCAGTTGTTGATTGCTTGAGGGTGTCCTGTCAACACATGGAATGTAGCAACTTGCCTTAATGGTAGATTTAGATTTTTCCTAGATTGGACCCACGGAAACCTTAAAAAGATAACATGGCAATTAGTTGTTTTTGGCGCTTTTTATGTCTAAAGTTGGTGAACAAAGCCTTCCCTTAAACTATTACAACCTTGAACCCCCTCTCGTAACTGCGTTTTCTCTCATTCCTTCGTCCATACTGTCTAAGCTGTCAATTATCCAACCTCCTCTAGACATTTTACTTTGTTCTGCTGGACATGTTCACATCGCGTTTCAAACATTTTTGAGATTTTTATTCCTTTCTCTTAAAAACATCCAGGCGTTTGCACTTGCCGAAGCTAAAGTGCCCACAATCGTTCTTGAATTTATTTCCTTACGTTGGTGTCAACTTCTCCTGATGTGCTTCACCCCCCAAATACGCAGTCGGAGCTAGTAACGACATGCGAATGTCGTTTTTTTTTTCTTAAAATCCAGTCGTGTCGTTTATGCCCATGCCATCCGTGTGCCAGCAATATGACATCATGCGGATCACTCGCGACCAACAAGTTGCTCTGCATATTTTCTGCCGATAGACCGCACTTTTGGCTAGAAAATAAACCGTTTATTGCATTTGTTCACGGAAATTATTGATTCTCTTCTTTTATCATTTGATAAGTCGGGACATATGCTATGGATTCGTTCAAGTAGGTATAGTACACTCATATCGAGGCGTCTAATATTTTGTCTGGGTGTGGAAACCTCGGAAATCAATTTATGAAACGTAGTCTTCGTCAGCATATCATTGAATGCTTGATATTGCCCTGGCACGAGGCTTCTTTGGACATTGGATATTGCACTCACTTGTCCCATCCCGAGCCACCTGTTAGTTTTCCCACCTTGGGTACTATGCGTGTTGCTCAACGGTGGCCTACTTCGACACAGTAACGAGTTACTGGCTTGTAACTAACGTGGTCTTAGTTTTGGATCCTCAGGGGACTCGAGGGAACACGCTCTTTCGATAAGTCCAAGAAGGGCGGCTGTCAAGTGCCTTTTCAGCTGTATGGTAACTACGTGACCGAGTCTAACTGACTAAACTCTACTCAAAGCTTGCCGATTCTCGTTTGCATCAGTGCGCTGATAGAACGGCTGTCAGTACCCAAGAGCACGTCATATGCGCTCCTTCTGAAGGCTATCTCGGTTGCACTGTTTCAGCCCTCGAGCTATTCAGCTCCGGTGGTCCTCTAGGGATTAGTGAAGTAAAGAGTACTCGTTGATAATTTTTGTGGCGCGTATTTGTAAGTGAAGGGAATAGTTTCATTTCTGTAGTGTGTTCTGGCCTACTACTCACCAATGCAGGGTTCTCAATCAAAGCCTTTGGTTCAAAAATCTGACCGCAAGGCAGCGGGTTTGGCATTAGGCTACAAGGAGTCCGTTTTAAGGAATAAGGAGCCACCCTCACTCCAACTTTGAACTTGGAGGACCCGGAGGCTGAGCTTGTCTGGCCTCTAACCATTGACTCTGAAGATGCGAAAAGCACCACCCAGCACAGCTCAATGGATCACTGAGGCACACAAACCATCGCACTACGGTAAGATCTAGAATAATTGCGATTAACTGCCACTCGTGAAAGCCAGATTCGTGATGAGCAAGCCGAGTTTCGTCGACGTCGAGATTGCATCCACCTCATCTTCACTTTGCGTCAATTGTTGTCACATATATTGGAGACCCACTGTTGTCGTATTCCTCTACATCAATGGTTCCTTCGATTCGATGTGCCGTTTGGGGCTTTGTACTCAGGAAACGTGTGCCTGCGAAATATATGTTATCCGAACGCCATACGCGCGTAGCTCGGTCAGAGTAAGGGCTTGTGGCAAGTTGTCTCCACCCTTCAATATCTCCATCGGTGTCCGCTGTCATTTCTCATGTTCAACTTCCCTTTTGTGGAATTCATGGAAACCGCGTCCACAGGACGACTTAGACGGTGTAAAGCTGCTCACAGGGGAACGACTTCTTGACTTGGTGTATGCTGACGACATTGCCCTTCTCTGTGACATCTCACAAACCTGCCAAGCGGCATTGGACAGATTAGCGCTAACTGTCAATTGTTTCGGGCTATGCTTCTCACTCTCGAAAGGCAAAGTCCTCCAAGATTGGCATGGACTGCCTCTTGCGCTGACCCTTGGTAGGGATCAGCTAGAAGTCCTTCAGAAATTCAACTACCTCGACAGTTGTATCAGCGCCGTTGTAATTGAAGATGAGATCACAAACCGTATAGCAAAAGTTCGAGCCGCTTTTGCTAACCTTTGCTAACTTTGGCACCGGCGCGACATCACTCTTCCCCTGAAGGCTAGAGTGTACAATGCATCCGTACGTTCGACCCTACTGTACTGTTGTGAATCTTGATCCATTAGATTTCCAGGCGTCAACAGGCCAGTTACGTTCAACCACCGGTGCCTTCGCATTTTCGCTCACATCTTGTGGGAAGACCGTGTGAGCAATGAGCGTGTTTGACGCCTTGTTGATGGCGTAGGAAGAAGAAACGAACCGCTCAGTGCCGTTATATCACGCACTAGACTCCGATAGCTGGGCCACGTGTTACGCATGCCAGCCCACCGGCTCCCTCGTCGCGTTGTTTTCTCGCTGGGGGTGTAAATGGAAGAAGAGATTTGGTGACTAAGCGATGACTTGGTCAAAAGGAATGAAGGCCCTTAGTACGAAGTTGGCCTCCGTTTAATCCTCTCGGTTCCCCAGTTGGGCTTCGAAAGACGAACACATTTAACTGGATGCACCAGCTGACATGGCGAAGAGTCAACCTCAGTGGCGTTTGTGTTGTGAGTTTCTTTGTCCATCACCCTCGCGCTTAGCTTCCCTCTCAATCCACGATCTCATTTCCTAACATACAAATTTTACGTTATATAATTTTTGCGGCACCATACCGTCTGGTAGCTTGCTGGAACGCTGCCCATCCCTTACTGGTGACTCAACTGGAGTGGCTCGGTTGCAGATTTTTTCTTCTTTATTTACGTATTGGGGCACAATAGCTGAGGTGTTTTCTACCTCTAGCTAACGTGTATAATGATGATGATGCTTAACATTCTGGCTGTGACAAAGCTCTTCTTGTCGCCCCCTCAATTCCAATTTATATCAGGCCCCGTCGCTGCTTCCAAAATAAGCCCAGATCGTCAGATGAACAGTGACAACTCTCCCGGTAGAGGGTACCTTTTATCTGTGATGAGATTACACAATCGAAACGGACAGGCTGGATCATTGAGACTAGCCATGCAGACAATTCGACACGGACCTAATAATCTATGTCTTTACTACACTTGGCCTACATCTTCGCCCACCCGGTTCCCCTCATTAGTTGCTAACGTTGATTATGCTACAGGAAACCACTTTTGGTTTGTTTGTATTACGGTCAAAAAACCGCTTTTTTAATGCACCATGACTGCACCACTATTCCCAATCGCGGCGATGTATATGTATTCGTCCCAACAATATATATGAACTGTGGGGACCACTTGTTCCTCTGTTTCACTGCTAATTTTACCGATTAAACCGTTTACCTCTAAGGGGGAATGCTTTTGCAACTGATCACTAAAGTCAGCTGAGTTGACTATTTGTGCAGCTATTTGGTTGTTGCTTCGCTCACAAGTTTTCTCAGTCCGATGTTCTGAACGCGTCCATGCAATACTCGAACAGTTCCAATTGCCCTGTTTTTTCACTCTATTAGTGCTAGACATTGATTACTTTTTGCGATCATTTTAACTCTGCCAGGTATCATTTCGTGACTTACTCAAGAATCATTCGTTCAAAGGACTAGTCTCTTCTGTCGACGATTCGGAACTCGACTCGTTAGACAAATGGGTGTTTCGATCATTTCCATGGCTTGTCCAGTGTATCAATTTCACCCCCTCATTAATCCTACCAGACATGAGACCCTGGACCTTTTGTTGGTGGCGGTGGGTTGATGTCTTATAGCCATCAATAAGTTACAGGCACAGTTTCTAAATATATCTGGTGAAATAAATTGACATTTTCGAAGCACACAAGATATACTAGGCAAAGTACGGAACATTAGCTACAGCTGTATAGCAGCAGACTTCGAAATTGCCGAAAAATCGGTACGGCAATCTGGTAGGGTTAACAACTAAGCTCCAATTTCTCGTGATCATTCTGCCTCATACTGAGTTCGATTGACCAGTAAGCATACTTCGCCATTACTACAGTAATCAGCAATGTGCAAGTATGTATCAAGTTAGGACCGGAGTCTAAGTGGTTGTTTTTAGATCGACCTGGCATTTTGCACTCCCGTTCATCACCCTCAACTTATAGCCTGGCGAATTTTTCAACCTTTACTAGAGCAGTGCAAATGTTTGCACTACAAAACTACGTGGCTTATCTGTAGTTGTGTCAACTATGGACTTTTGTCTGCTGTTGTCGGTGCTTTTCTCTCCGTTTTTCACTCTACTGGTTCTCCTACGTCATCTCATTAGATGCATTCGCTTGGTCCGTGTCTATCAACATTCAGGTTGAATAGCAGTCGGCGACAACTACTGACGCAGCTTGTCTCCAGCTAACTATCTCTAGTCGCGCAGTCCTGGTGTATTCCCCTTCCATACTACCTTCTGCTTAATGTTGGTGATCGATAGATCATCTAGTAAGGTCTATAGCTCCATACTGTGATTACTTAGTCTCCTGGACTTGGTAGTTACAACTCGAACTATTCTATTTCCGTCTGTTTGCATTTTCATATTGAATGAACGAAACGTCTTCGATCACATTTGACTGTGATTACCTTTAGGAGAGTACGTTCTGTCGGCTGTCTTCTGGTACACCGTACTCAGTTAGTTAGCGCTGACTGTGCTCTTTCGCAGTCAATACAACTTGCGGTGTCCGCGCTCCACGTTAACAGAACTGAGCTTACAGTACACAAAATGCGTCTTCCCCTGCTGACTTTCAAACTCCCCGGCTACAAGTCCTCCTCGCAAGGTGGGAAGGTCATTTCCCTCTAATTACTGATTTCTCTGTGAAGGACGGCTTCGCACGTACTCGAACGTGCAACTCAACGTAGGTGTGTCATCACATCACTCTAAGTCCAATCCCTTTTACCTAACCAACTTATCACTAGATCTGACCCCGTTGTATAGGTTTCGGGTATTGTTAAAATTTGGCTTTCCTTTAAAACCGTTGCCACTTGACGTTCAATAATAGCTAGTCATTTGAACGAAGCTGACTATTGGGTTGTAGGCAGACTCGAGACTAATCAGTCGCTGTCGATACCAACTGATAACACGTGGACGAGGATGAAAGAGGAATTAAGCTCAGCTCAGCCTGAGTGGACAGCGCACTACTTTATCACGAACAACGGCGAAGCGGATTGGTTGGAACAGCTGCGAACGAACGAAGCGTGTGATGACGCGTCCAAGCATCGCAGACGGAGCAGAAGCAGGTTAAAGCGAGCAGTACGTATGGACCAATGAACACAGATTGCGGAAGACACAAATGTGTGAAAGTAACCGATGTGAATACATGATCAACTAAACCTCCCCTTTTATGTGCGCTATAAACAACGCTTTGTTTTACAAATGAGTCTTTACTCCCTGCCCATCCTTTGTTTTGGCTCTTGGAGGGCTACGCGACAACATCGACCCATGTTTACCCAGCACAGAATCCTTTTGACGTCCATGCGAACAAATCCATCCGATCTCCCTGTACGTAAACCTGCGGTATCCCATGTGCTACCTTATGATGGGCTTCGGTTGATAAGTTAACGAAGTTACCATGCAGTGATCATACCGGTGGATTGGCCTTCCATTGGACGATATGGTCCTTTTCCCGGTGCCACTCGATATGAAGAGATAAACCGGGTTACGAATCATATTTTTTCTTTCTCTGACGATATTTCCGCTAAGGCCACTGCTCCACTTGCGAACGCCTTGCAGCACACGCGGACACCAATACAACCTTATGGTTCCACATATGAAGCGAGTTCCCTATCTCTGGTGCTTGGAACATCGCGTGGTAAATATCTGGAACGGTTTGCCGGAACATATAGTGGAAGCGAACTCAGAGCAGCAGTTCATACGATCATTGGATGTGCATTTCTCCATATTAGATTACTTGAACGATTACCCACAGGCATCTCGCATTTTTGTGACCTAATCTACTTTGAGTTAAATGATTTTTAACGATATAACATGAGAACGTGAAAAAAGATCAGTGTATTGACAAGTCATAGTTTGCTTTTTTAACCTTTTTGATCATATTTCGATGGAGTTGTACATAATAAAATTTCTACTTGCTCCCACAATACAGTATTCAGCATTCAGAACGAATGATGTAGCCAATCCATTTCTGCGCTTAGTCGAAGAATACTTAAAATCTGATTATCTAGTCTTATGTATCAAAGGGGTCTTACTTAGCAGTCTTTGGATTGAGTTCCGAGGAGGAGAGGCGCAGCAAACTATCGTCACTAAATCGCTTAAAGCGCTTAAATGTTTCATAGACTGCTCTCACCACCAACCTTTGCTATTTAATTCAGTGACTTGTTGCGGTGTCCCTCTGGATAAGCCTGGTGCCCCAGACGAGAAAATCGTCCATACCGACTGAGGTAGCCGAGATCAAGCAAATTAAGCTTTCTTTTTGCATTACTTGTTCTGACTCGTGACGTTGGCTGCATACAGCCCTCTGTTCTATCGTATTTTCTCGTCCTTTTCGGAGTGAATCCTTTCCATTTGGATTTTTCTTCATTTTTGTATCATTGTTGCTACGTTTATTTGCGACTGTCGAAAAGCGTCAACTGTGCTCACTTCACTAAAGATCCCGTCCATAGATAAGCCGACAGTATAACTACAATATCAAATTTGTCCAATCCTCAGTCCTTGTAATAGCCGATACCTGAAATCAGCAGGAGAGAAACGAAATTGTTTCTCCATTATTTCGACATCATCACTACCTTCTCTCACTTAGGTGACTTCAAGTGAAACCTACTCTGTTGGTCAGTTGTGTTGACCGTATTGTTATACTCGCGCTTTATGGGGCGTGAGACCGTCAGAACAGACTTTCACCGCCCCGGACAGACGTAAATCACGTGGAACAGGTAAGATGGCCGACAATATAGAGTAAGGTGAGAGGGTGCGCCAGGCAGGCCGCCTGGCATAGTCAGGGACTCATGCATCTGAGCCACACTACACCATTTTACACTCATGTTAGCGCATTCTACCAAGCTTTTAGCGGGGCACATTTTCGAAATCGTGTGCAGTGCTTTCAAGTTAGCGAGTTTTCCTTCAGATAGGCATCAAAATAGAACAGAAGGTGGTGCTCGACCAATTTCATTGGACTGTCTGTCACTTAAGCTGTGGACTTCCAACCGGTGTCCCATTGAGTAAAGTCCCATGACCAATGAGAGTGTCAAGGACACCAAAACAGCGTTCTTAGCTTCGCTAACTTGAAAGCACTGCACGCGATTTCGAAAATGTGCCACGCTAAAAGCTTGGTACAATGCGCTAACATGCGTGTAAAATGGTATAGAGCAGTTGGTGAGCGCGAAGTTCACGGTCAGGGGTGTGGGACCATGTTAGCTTTTTAAGGCATCGGATCGCCTGGCATAACATAATGTTTGAGAACTTTTGGTTCGCTACTTCCATCCTTCGCAAATGTCAAACGTGCAATATACCGAGAATTTTCGACACAAAAGTAACGTATCCAGTTATAGGCACTTCAAATCCCCGTCTGAAATACCGTCTGTCACTAGCGGGTGGTGGATTTTGCATGGGACTTTTTCAAATTCCGTATAGCTTTTTTATAAGCCGACCCACCCATTAAAGCAACGGAAAATTGTACAAAATTTGTCGGCTTATATTCGGTAATATACGGTACCCTAATATACATTCCCCCTGAAACAACTTTCGTGTTTATTCTGTTTTGATCACGCTGTGTCTCTTGTCGCGGGTTAACTTGGACCCATAAAATCTTTTGAGTGCTCTTCTACATTTTCAATGACCAGCCATTCCAACAAATTACCTGCATCCTTATTTCACCTCTGTACATCTAATTTCTTCGAGGGATATCTTTGTGCAGATTTCCAAAAACGCATGTTTTTCTATCTCGATCCCCTGGCAGCTCGCTTGCGGCCGAACTGGATTTTCAGTTGATCACCTCTCGTATCGCAGGTACGCTTCCTCCCATTCAACCATTGCTGGACAGATTTGTGTGCACCTCTCCTTTCTCATTTTGTATAAAAACACTAGTCCTTTGCATTTCTTATTCTTCCCACTTTGGAAATTTTCCCACTTGTTTCAGTTGGCTTATTTGGATGGTTGCAAATTCCTATATGTTCGTTGTTCGGCCCTCTAAATGGGCTCTGTAGCACATTTTCTCACAACCCTAGCCTAGAAGCAATAATGCCATCTGATCATCTTGTAAGCACCGAAGGTGCGAACGATTATTCATTGTGGCGAATTTCAGCAATCGTATGCATCATTTCTGATTATTAAAATTCTACCAATCTGCGGACTCTCTGCTGTTGGCTGCGTAGCTCACGTTGCTTTTGTGTCTGTTTTTAGTGTACATATATCTGCGGCTCCCGAGCGTTCTTCTTGCATATAATCGGCAGTTGGTCCGCTACCGTCTGGTCTTCTTGATGCTTGCATACTACTAGCACCAGGCGCAATAGTACCTACTTTGTACCCACTACACTACTCCCCTTTCAAAATGTTCGCCCTCGCTGCCTTCTCCTGAAGCCTTTTCAATCTTTGGGCTTGTTCACTGTGTGGGGTTGTTTCCTCTTCCAACTCGTGCCACCTCAGCTCACTGGCATATACCCGCCGTGAATCTCCCTGCCCAGCGATTGTATCCATTGAGCCTCGACAGTTAATCACTTCCTACGGCCCCTTTCGCTTCGGTAAGTGTTTACTTTCTCTTGGGCTACAGATGGGAGCGCTCTGGTGATCCCTGTCTTTCACGTGCGCATCGACCGGAAACTCACCACTCGGCTTATCATTGTTGGCTTGGTACTTCCCCTTCCTCCGCGCCTGAGATGATTTCACTTTACGGTTAGCTGCCTTTATAGTGTCCTGTAATTCTTTTGGAAGTGTTCGACAGATCGGCCGCATTCCAACTGCTAAATCCACAGGTAGTCGAGGTGCTAGGCCGTACTGGAACGGTGATTTCTTTTGGAGGCCTGTATGGACGCTCGATCAGCCAGAAAAAGCGGTAATGAAGCTTCCTGCCTGTCTACTCTCTTTGCAGCCAGGCACTCTTTAGCTGTTCTGTTGTTCCGCTCCGTCATGACAGTTGTCTCCGCATGGTACGGGGTTGTTCGCAGTTTCTTGATTCCGAGTTTCTCTAAGCAGGTCCGGAATTCCTCGCTCTCGAAGCACGGACAGTGGTCTGTTACTTTGTCTTTTGGGAATCCGTGATCCGCTATCATGACAGCATGCGTTGTGGCGTTCGCCCGTTTGTCCGCAATTCCCGTTGCTTCATTCCAGCGTATGTTATGCCCGGTCATCAACAGCATGTATTAGTTACCTTGCTTAACCAATAGAAACGGTTCCATCACAACGACCGGCCAGATACCAGAATAAGCAACGCTGGTTGTTGTGTTCCGCGACTGTCCCTTTTCAAGAGTTGGCATTGCTTGCACGAAAGCACGTATGTTTGACGTCTTTCTTCATGCCTGTTCAGTTGGGCACTTTGTCTATGCAAATCGTAGATCCTGGCGCAACCGGCGCGTGCCATTTCGTGACCAGATATCATCAACTTCCGCCTTAGTTTCGTCGGGGTCAGGGACACCGAAATGTTGCTTCCTCTTGGCATCTACATGAGAATTCCCGCCTTATTTATTTGCGGTTTTTCCAAATTTCTTACAAACGGTCCGAACTGCTTATGCGGGTTTTTGTTTAAGACCGATTGACAGGTTATTCGTCCAGTGAATACTTTGCGCAAGAGCTTGTCACTACGTTGTTCGGATGCCAGCCGTTATGGATCCTGCTCTACCTGTATACCATTAATACCGAAGGCCACACTCGGTAAATCATCTTCGTTCATCATGCTTGATAAAAAATCCACAATCTGATACTCCTTCCTCGGCGCGTTGTCAGTCGTAAGATCATATTCCTGTAGGCGCTATGCCCTTCGCGCCAGTTTCCCCTTGTAGTCTTTGACGGACTTAATCCACTGCAAAAGCGTGTGGTCCGCCTCGACGTGAAATCACTGATCTAACGTGGCCGCTATTTTACCAACGCTAAGATGATTGCGACACATTCCATCTCTGCGATTGAATATGTTTGTTCTGCCGACGTCAAAATTCTGCTGGCGTGCTCAATCATCTCGTGGCTTTGTTTAAAAACTATTCCCATCCCGACGTCACTGGCATCATTGGCCACCGTGAACGTGTCTCCAGCAATGGGTAATTTCAGGGTTAGCTCCTGTTTCCCCATTTCTTGCAGAATGCGATCAAAAGCTTCTTGGGCTTCTAAAGTCCGTGGTAATTTATTATCCTGTTTCAGCGGCTCTTACAATGATGAGGCTGAATTGTTGCATTCCCTGATAAATTTGTTGTAGTGCCCTGCTTAACCTAAGAACCCCCTGAGGGTACGCTTTAAGCTTTAGACTGGGGTGTTTTGTATTGTCAGCATTTTCTCAGTAATGTAACAAAGTTTTCCCATTCAGGATTCCGGCCCGATTATATGGAGTCCCGACTGCTGTGCTCCGACTTTAGTTTTCTATACATCGCTATCTTACCCCCATATGCGACCACGGTCTCTACACGATCCAGCAGACTTAGAATTGTACCTGGAAATGTGAACGACACTCCAGATAATCCGAAAGACATCCTTTTAAATTGCTATTGTTTCTCACCCACTGCAAACGCAGTTTTTTCAGTCGTTACATTTGACCTCTAGTTGCCAATATCCAGATCTCAGATCCAGGACCGCGAATATTCTCGACTGCTGCAACCTTTCACAAATATCTGCAAATGACGGCACGGGAACGAAACGACTAACGGAGATTTCATTCGCTTTTCAGAACTCCACATAGAAATGGTACTTCCCATTATCCTTCTTTACCAAAACAACTGAATAATTGTATGGGATGTGTGCCTCTTCAATCGCATCCAGCACCTTTACTTGTTTCTTCACCTCAGTCTCCAAATGAATTAGTATCCTTCGCAAAATGGTGTGCTCGATGCAGTCACAAATCCATACGGACTTCCATCATTTGTAAACAAAAGGTGGTACTTGCTGATGAGTGATTGCAACTCGGCAGCAACCTAGTTCAAAGGGGCACTTCCTCCATGGTTAATGAGTTGTAAAGACCCGTATTCAGCCAACAGTCTCGTTTTAAAATGATGAGTTCCTTATTGAACTCCAGGAAATCTGCCCCCAACCTGGTCTGCTTCGCATCGGGTAACACGACCAGGACTTGCCTTCGTTTCCGTCGCCTGATTCCCACAATGTGTTTTGCCATGCCATCAATGCATACTTGGTAACCGCCAACAACTTTCACGACCCTGGACCACGACTAAAGTTTTTCGCCTGGCCGATGCCTGATCAGACACCATGAGACCCGTATCAATCAGGCACCGTTGTTAGTCCCGTCTACTTCCACCATCACCCCCTTGTTTAGCGCTCCTCTACCCGAGAAAAATAACACGGTGATTTGGCCCCTGGGTCGCAGCGCGCCTCGCCCGACAGTCACTCCTAGTGTCCCGGTCTCCCCCTATGGATTCAACTTTCTCTTGTTCGCTTCTCCGAGCGCTGAACTCGGAGCCCAATGACGTTTTGCACGAGCTGCTTCATCATCCGCTCCAATTTATCCAACCCCTCCACCTTTTCACAGTGTTCCTTCTTCTAGGCAGCGAGTGGCGCGTCGCCCAGCTTACGCGTCACCTGCACAAGCTCCTCCAAGCAAAGTCTCTTGGTAGCGTTCGCACTCCTGACACGTTCCACAATCGACTGCCGGAGACCGAACAGCAACCGATCCACCAGTAGTTGTTGTCTTGACACTTTGTCCACTCTAGGTGGAGCTCGATCCAACAAGCGTCGGATGTGAGCCGCAAACTCGAAGGGATCTCCCCTTGCTCGTGTTGGGTGGCCTCATTTCCACCTGGTGTTCAGCCGGGTTGTGTAATCCAGAGGGCAACGCTTCCTTCGCAGCGACCCACTCCATCTTGACTGGGCCTCTTCGCGCCGCCTCCAGGGCTGCCTTCGCCCTGCTCTTGAGGAGACTCTGCAGCGCCACCAGCTTCCTTCAATCGGTCTTCACTCCGATCGCCTCTTCGAAATCATCCCAGAAGGTCCTCATATCCCCTTCTTCAAACGGTTCCGGCCGGCAGATCTTCATGATCTACTTTGACTGGTCACGGTACCAATGCATGAACCCAAGGTGCAAACGGAATTATTTGTGGAAAATAGTTGACCCGTAGCCTTAAGGGCCACAAACCTGGCTTCTTGTCTCACGTCGCGGATTCGATCCTGCGTAGGGACTTGGCGACCCTCCTAGTATCCTTAGCCCATGTGCGACCAGTGGTGGTTTCACGGCAGCGAAGTATCGTTACTGCGTACCGACGTATTGCTAATCCCTTTTTTCATTGTGTCAGTTATCAGCAACCATATGCATTAGTTCTGTCCACTAAATGTTCTACCAACCCGCGAACTTTTCTGTAGGCTGCGTGGCGCACGCTGCTTTTGTATTCATTTTTAGTGTACATATGTCTGCAGCTCCCGAGCGTTCTTCTTGCGTATAGTCCGCAGTTGGTCCGCTACCGTTGTTTCTTGGTAGTTGTATACTACTGACACTGGGTGCAGTAATATCTGTTTTTGGCCCAGCACTATATCACTCTTCTATAATCCGTAGTGCGGACGCTGACAATGAACTTAGTAGCTGTCGGCATCGATTATCGTACGAATGGTCTGCGGTTTGTACCAGACGTGTATTTACTTAAGTTTGTTTACTCGAGCAGGTTATGTGATCACAGCTATCTCTGGCCATTGGCCCCTGTATTCCATTACGCACTCACTGTCGCTGCTTGATTCTGAGCGAAGTAGTGTGGGGCATTGTGGCTACCAGTAATTCTTAAAACAACTTTGCTCATGTGGTTGCCTCGCGTTTCTGCTGCACTCCTCTCTATCTAGCTGCCGATTATGTCGCGTGCTGCTGTGAACTTACG